GCAAGGGGTAGATCTTCGCTTGATGCAACATCTGGCTGACAGACTAGCGTAAACTCAAGCTTCTGAGGCCAACCGAGCGAGCAGTCAACCTTTCATAGTGTTTGTAAAGATAACACTTTCTGGCCAAGGGAACAAACATGCAATCGCTATCGGGTAAGTACGCGAGTAGTGCAACTGCAAACTGTCGATAATGTTTTGGCCCAAGATATAAGACTAAAGACTGTCCCACACTTTGCTGCATTTGCATAGGTCACACATAGCTTGACTAGCACAAAGCCCGGTTTCATGAACTGCGCGCAGGGCTATAGAAATTCAGAGGCGTCATAAGGGGAGAGAGCGGCAGAGAGCGAGGACAGAGGAAGAAAGAAGAGAGAGAAGAGAGGAGAGAGGAGAAAAGGAGAGAGAGAACAGGGGGCAGCAGGAGAAGAAGAGAGTAAGCAAGAACGGAGAGAGAGAGAAAAGAAGAGAGGCAGAGGGTAGGCAGAGGAGCAGTGAGAGGTGAGGAGAGAGGAGGCTAGAAGATGAATAGAGCAAGTAAGGGAGCAGAGAGGAGCAGCAGAGGAGCAGAGCAGGAAGCGGAGTAAAGCAAGAGGAGAGCAGAGAAAAAGGAGAGAGAGGGAGCGTCAGGAGCAGGAAGAGAGCAAAAGAGAAGGAGGAAAGCAGCAGAGAGTAGAGAAGGAGAGAGAGGGGTCCAGAGGGAGCAAAGAAAGATAGCAGAAGAAGAGGGACAGATGCAAGCAGAAGGGGAGGAGAAGAAGTAAAGAAGTCAGAGGAGGGGAGAAAAGGCAGAGCAAAGGTCCAGCTGAGAGAGAGGAAGAGAGGGAGCTTTCAAGCAGAAGAAGAGAGAGGAGAGAGAGAAGGATAAGGAAGAGGCAAGGAGAGGCAGTCAAGAGAGCAGGGGAGGAGAGAGAGGCAAGGAGCAGAGAGAGAGAGCAGTAGAAGAGAGAAGAGAGGAAAGCAGACAGGAGTAGAGGGCAGTGCAGCAGCGAAGTAGGAGGAGAAAGGAAAGAGGAGAAGGCAGAGGAGCAAGGAACAGGAGAGAGAGAGGGGGAGATAGGAGGGAGCAGAGGAGGAAGAGGAGATAGTTAGTCAGAAGAGAGGCAGAGCAGAGAGAGAGAGCTTAGAAGGTAAGAATGGGGAGAAGGAGAGCAAGACAAGAGAGGTCAAAGAAAAGCAAGTAAGCAAGGAAGAAACAAGAGAAGGGAGGAGACACAGAAGCGAGAAGGAAGGGCGAAGCAGAGAAAGAGCAAGAGGAGAAAGGAGCAGAAGCAAGAGGAGAGAGGTCAAGGAGACAGGAGGAGAGGAGAGAGGAAGCAGAGCGAGAGTCAAGAGAAGAGAAGAGAGAATTAGAGCCAGATAGAGAGGAAGAGCAGCAAGAAACAGGTAAAGAGAGGAGCCTGGATTAAGGAGCAAAGAAGGGCGCAGAAGGGAGAAGGAGGAAGAGCAGAAGGGGAAGGCAAGAAGGCGAAGGCTCGAAGAGCAGAGGCAGCAAGAAGCTGAAGGCAGGAGGAGGGCAAAGAGAAGCAGACAGAGGAGAGCAGAAGTCGAACAAGAGGCGCAAGGGAAGTAGGAGAACAGAGAAGAGGCAAGAGAGGCAGAGAGAGGGACACCGGCAGGGAAGAGGAGGAGGAAAGTAAGAGAGCAGAAGAGAGTAGAGTAGAAGCAGAGTAAGAAAGGAGAAGTAGCAGGTAGGTAGAGCAAGGGCAGGAGAGAGAGCTTTAGGAACACAGAGAAGGGAGATCAGGAAGAAGCAGAGAGCCAAGACATAGAGAGCCGGAGATAGAAGAGGGTAAGAGCAGCCAGAGCAGAGAGAGAGGAGAAGGAGAGGGAGAGCAGAGAGGAGAAGAGGAGCAAGCAGAGGCAGACAGAATGGAGAGGATGCAGAGACAAGGAGAGAAGAGAATAGGGAGAGAGCAGGACGCAGAGAAAGCAGGCGGAAGCAGCAGAACAAAGACAAGAAACGAGAAGAGGAAGAGAGAAGAAAAGAGAGGGGAGAGGAGCGAGAGAAGGGCACACAGGGATGGCAGGAGCAGAGTGCATCGATTTGTAACTGCAGACTGTTTACACCTGTCGCCTCCAAAAAAAGGATCGCAAAACGCAAAATCATCGGGCTTTTTAACACTATATCAGCATGGAATGTCACGCTATCTTTTTGAACACTATACACAATTACACAGTAGTAACTTTTATTCCAAAAGTAAGCAAGGCTCATTCGAACGCATGCGTGCACTGCTGGAGCGTCACGGGAATTGTATATACACTGCAGCCAAGCTGCCAGTGTTTGCGCATACCGGTAACCACGCGTGCGCACGCCACTGCGTTCAAAATGAGAAATGCAGTAGGCGACTTGGGAATAAACGGATAAATATGTGATAAAGTTTGTGAAAGGTTCAAAAAAAATAGTGAGATGTCCATGTAGATAAAAATGTTAAAAAGCCGATGATTTTGGTTTTGCATCCATTTCAGTGGTGGACAGGTGCACAGTTGCCGTTACGCTAGGTTCTGGTTAATAGCGGTTAACACGGTATTTTTACCTTGCGCTATCTCGCAACTTTTACTCGGTTATTCAAGTTGAGAGAACTCACCCCACAAAGGCGGTAAAATATTAAGTCGCATTATTTGAAACCGAAGTTTATTAAATACTTCTTTACTTTCTTACGCCGCTGTGCAACGCGGAGTTTCTTTTTTATAAAATACTTAAATAGCATATAATTTCCTATCTAATACACCAAATTTAGACCATAACCATCAAAATAGGCATTTGGGTCAAATCAGAATTTTTTGTCCGGGGCATGCCCCCTGACCCCGACTAGCAGGGCTTCGACTTCGCACGCTCGCCCATACCGTCCGTGCGGAAACAGTACCGCGATTCATGCAAATACCTAGCTTGTCAAAGTTAACAGACCCGTACGAAATCGAGCGAAATGTCTATAGCCCTGGCGGCAGTTAATGAACGCGGCTATAGTACAGACTAAATCACACATTGCGAAAATGAACTACTAGTACTAGTAGCTAAATTCCACTTGGTTCGTAAATTTTTTGAACTAAAAGGGGTACAATATCAGACAATACTGTCAATAATAATGTCAAATGAATTGAATAGCTGAGCACTAGGCTGGCTGGTCACTGGTGATGAGACATTGTTGGCCAGGTTCTCGAGTGGACAGACAACGAAAACCCGTAGCCGCGGTAGCGGAAGGTCAGCCACACCTCACCTCCAGCCAATATGTACAAGTGTCTTACCTATTGCTATTGATTGTCTAATACAATTTTGATGACTTACTTCGTTTTCAAATTTGCAAACACAGACTCCGGCTGCCCGCTGTTGCTCTAGTCTAGGTCTGAGGTCTAGGTCACAACTCGATGTGCTCGATGTCAGCAAGTTGGATGTCAGCTGTCAGTACTGTTGAGCCTGACACCTGGTGTTGAAGTGATAAACTAAATGTTGCTTAGCAACAGCAGGAAAATTATTACGCACTATGCGAACTATTTTTTGTAGTTTCTCGAGCATGCTGCTGAAGTAAAATTGTATAAACACCAAGAAAACGTGTCAGATATAAATGTCATGATTCCTTTTGTATTGTTGTAATAAATTTGTTCGCTTTTAATGTCAAACACTATTTTCAATTATCGTATGGTAATGACGTCATCAAAGTTTGTGTATGTACACACATTAGTTGTCTACTGACCGAGAGCAGAAAAGAGTATTTTCGACTAACTACATTTTAAATTATGCAGTTATTTTGATTGCATCGTGTTATATTTGTATAAAAGGTGACATCCGTTTATATAGGTGCTCTTTATATTTACATTTTTTAACTGTGAACGGTTAAAACATGGACTTTGAAATACCTCCTGGATTAACTAACTTACTCGAGGACTTTACTGTCTCGGTACTGCGAGAAAAGCCAGAAGACTTGGTAGACTTTGCAGTAGATTATTTCGTGGAAATGCAACGGTCTGGACAATGTACTCGAAAACAGATATCATTCCAGACCGATGAGGTGATGCGTGACGAGGAGCCTATGCAAACGGCCTCCGATGAAGACGACGAACCGATGGAACGTAAATGCCCCAAATTTACTTGATAATTGCCTTAGTTTCTTGAAAGTTGAAATAAAAATTACGCAGTGGCTGGAGGTACGGTAGCCGTCGGTCGTTCAAGCCCCTTTTTTGCGTTAGGGTTAGGATTAGGGTTAGGGTTATGGTTAGGGTTAGGTTTAGGGTTAGGGTTAGGGTTCTAGCTCATCTA